AAAGACCCTTGTATTTGACGTAAATAAAATTTAGTGGGATTGACGGTACACTAATTTAAGTAAAGACCCTTGTGTTTGACGTAAATAAAATTTAGTGGGATTGACGGTACACTAATTTAAGTAAAGATCCTTGTATTTGACGTAAATAAAATTTAGTGGGATTGACGGTACACTAATTTAAGTAAAGATCCTTGTATTTGACGTAAATGTGGAAAATCAGCATTAGAAAATAAAGTAAATACGTATATTTACTATGAAACGAATGATTTTGTCCAAAATTACACTTTTTAACATCTATATACGTACATATACAAACACACACTGGTTGTTGGGTAACTTTTACAAAGTTAGGAAACTCGATAGTCATCAAACTAAACTAGGACGTATGTGAAAGCGTTTTCAGCGTTTCGTTGCACATTGTTTTATATTCATCAAACTAAACTAGAACGTATGTGAAAGCGTTTTCAGCGTTTCGTTGCACATTGTTTTATACTGAAATTAATGTGTAGTGTTGTAATTTTCTGTTGCTAAATTAATAATTTATAATTAATGACCAAAATATATGTATCAATATATAAAGGTATATACTTACCGCAAGGTCTGATATATGTATCAATATATAAAGGTATATACTTACCGCAAGGTCTGATGTATGTATCAATATATAAAGATATATACTTACTGCAAGGTCTGATGTATGTATCAATATATAAAGGTATATACTTACTGCAAGGTCTGACATATGTGTCAATATATAAAGGTATATGCTTACCGCAAGGTCTGATATATGTATCAATATATAAAGGTATATACTTACCGCAAGGTCTGATATATGTATCAATATATAAAGGTATATACTTACCGCAAGGTCTGATGTATGTATCAATATATAAATATATATACTTACCGCAAGGTCTGATGTCTTTTAAAATAAATGTTCCACCCAATGCATCTCGAAATAACAACGATAAAATAGCCAGCTGGAGGAACACAGTCAATATTATTTTGTTCATTGTAAAACACGACTGATCACACCCGACTTCCACCTCTTATATATGGCAGTCCTCGTTGGCCTTGAATAACCGGTTTTCACAAGCACTAGGACGACGTAATCACCTGAAACGGCTTTTTCTTGTTCCTAAATATTATTATTATGCTAGCTCTAAAAACGCTTTTACTTATGATAAATTGAAGGTGTTTAGTTTTTCTCATATACCTAACACTAATTGAAGGCGTTTAGGTTTTCTCATATACCTAACACTAATGAAATTTTCAACGATGTATGGAACAGTAAATTGGTTTGGTATTACTAATTACGTCAACATATTTAACATGAGATGACGACAGGTACTCTTTGTAATTATTAGGTAACAGGAGAGTAGTGCTTAATTTCTGTCAGATTCCTCAGAATCTCAAATTCGAAACCAGTTTTAGACTTTTTTTGTATTGAAAGACATATAGTATAAGTAATATCTTCAATAAATTCAACACCAAGGACGTCAGCTAAGCGATTTCACCAGGTATTATGCCCCACAGGTCTAATTTGGTCACTGACAATGGATGTTGCCAAACAATTTAACTATACATTCAGGGTAGGCTTTAGAATGGTACAGTTCTGCTTGAAATAGATCTTAAGGTACTATGTTTAACATTTAACTAGGATATTTTCAAGGTTAACTATACATTCAGGATAGGCTTTAGAATGGTACAGTTCTGCTTGAAATAGATCTTAAGGTACTATGTTTAACATTTAGCTAGGATATTTTCAAGGTTAACTATACATTCAGGATAGGCTTTAGAATGGTACAGTTCTGCTTGAAATAGATCTTAAGGTACTATGTTTAACATTTAGCTAGGATATTTTCAAGGTTAACTATACATTCAGGATAGGCTTTAGAATGGTACAGTTCTGCTTGAAATAGATCTTAAGGTACTATGTTTAACATTTAACTAGGATATTTTCAAGGTTAACTATACATTCAGGGTAGGCTTTAGAATGGTACAGTTCTGCTTGAAATAGATCTTAAGGTACTATGTTTAACATTTAACTAGGATATTTTCAAGGTTAACTGTACTTTGAGGGTAGGAGTTAAAATGGCACAGTTCTGTTGAAAAAGATCGTAAGGAACCAAAGATAATATTGTTCTAAATGCAGTCCAAAATATGCTATAAGTTATAGAGAAATGGTTCTAAAATGTTTGCTCGAACCACCTGACGAGAGCCTGTGGACATCAGTAAATATTTGCTCGAACCACCTGACGAGAGCCTGTGGACATCAGTAAATGTTTGCTCGGACCACCTGACGAGAGCCTGTGGACATCAATAAATGTTTGCTCGGACCACCTGACGAGAGCCTGTGGACACCAGTAAATGTTTGCTCGGACCACCTGACGAGAGCCTGTGGACATCAGTGGTTTTCAAACCGCAGATTGAGAACTACTCTCATGTATTATTTGCTGAAGTGTTTTAGTAATATTTATGCTTATATTCTGACCTGTAAAATAGTTTTTATGTCTTGTACCTTTACTCACAGCGAGCAAAAATCAATGTGTCCATCTCGTAACCATGGCTACTTTTCAAAAATAATCTTGTTACATCATGACTATTAATTTTCCTATGAACACTCTGCAGAACTGAGTTTAACTACTACCGTTCAGAATGTGCCAGATTTTTTGTTTTGTTGTTTTACAGAGATTATTTTCTTATTGGTTCTTCGATCCGAATGTCACCCTAAGCCTAAAGCCCAGACATAGCCATCATTAATCTACTGAAGAAAGACAGTTTAACCCATCAGCAACATTTGCTACAGCTGACCAAACCTTCCTATCCACAGGCTAACAAGCTAACGACGAGTCACGCCTAAGTCATGCATTACCTACATGTATATTTATGAATACTTTGTGCAATGCTGTCATAATTTTCCAAAAATTTAACTTGTTATCTGGAAAAGGTACAAGAAAAAAGAAGGGAAGTGATAAACTTTCGATCAAGTTGTAAAATAACAGGATATCATAAACAAAACAAAAGTGTATAACTATATGGCATGTATTTTCTGCACGAACAAGTTTTCCAGGAATCTTTGTTAAATGCGTGATTTGTTTTCAACTGGGTTTTTCATATTAAATCACCTGTTCTACAATGAATGACGCTTCTACATTTCTACCTGTTGATCCCATATCCTGATAAAATCTCTATTTAAAAGTTCCTATTATAACGCAAAATTCTGAAAGGTTAAATTATTGTTGTGTCAGCGAGGTCACTTGACTAGTATCACGCCACGTCCTTCTCGAACCTTCGTGAATTATCGGGAGACTACTAGATTGGGGTAGTCTGGTATATATAAGAC